CAGTGACACTGATTATTTGAAACCTCTCTTATCCAAACAGATTTGAGATCTCTCACTACTGTAATAACCGAGTCTGCACTCTGTGGTAGGAAGCCTTTGGCTAAATGCCACTGTATCTCAGCTATTCACTCGTCATGTGCAGCACTCATCAGCCTTTTATCCCTTGCACCAGTTGAGTCTCAAATAACCCTATAAAGCACGCCGAATATCACTTGTTCTGTGCGGTTTTGCTCTTGAAACTACTACAATGATTTCTTCCTAATTTCTGCGTGGCAAAGCCATGGAAAATCAAAGAATAATGATCTAATGTTACAGAAAAATGCAGTTAAGCCTTTCCTGAAACTTACCAGTGCTGTGCTCAAAGGTAGAAAATACATTTGTGATGAAGAATTTGTCTCTTAGAGAATACAGCCTAGATAACAGAAATTGGAAGATGTCACAAAATTGGGCAGCAAGAAGAAGGTTTTTGATTCCTTTTTGTCCCATTCAGATTTTGACTGGTAAGACAACAGCTCTGTGCTGTAATTAAGCATTTTAATTAAGCATTTTCAATAGCAACAATGCATTGTATCCAGGCAGAAGCAAGGAGAATATGCGCAAGTTGGGAAAAATATTAGTGATGGGGAGCAGGGGGAATTAAACAGGAAAGCTTTCCTGAGCTGAGCCTGGAACAACTGTGCAGGTAAAGTCCGGGTCATGCTGAACAGAGAGCAGCCAAGCAGCGAATGTTGCCTCTGTCCACCTCCTGCAGATATAGAATTACTTCTTTAAAGAACTAAAGGTGAAGCCAAAGCAGTAGATGGAAGCCAAGAAATACGGTAGCCTGTGTTGTCCACATGGGCACTTTCTTTGTGTGCTTTGCTACACTGCTCTTTTACATAAATATCATTGTGAAACAAAGCAGATCTTATTGATATCTAGCTTGCTGACAACAGAATCAAACATTTAGGCACACATATGTTAGTGATGGGCAGATCTTGTTTGTGGTACCACAAGTGTTTGTTCTTGCTGGTCAGCGATAGTGTCCGTGATCACTTGTCCCTCCTGTTTGGTAGGCTCCCTACCTGCTGCAAGCCGGAAAGCTCGTGGCTGCTTACGCCTGTTTGAAGAGGAGAGTGGAGCATTTGGGGTGTTCTTGTCACACTGTCAGCAACCCAAAGTCCTTTTTTGCCTTCTGTGTATTAGTTTAAGCAAGTCACAATACCAAAAGCAAGCCTGCCACTCTGAGAAGTGTGGATGGCTACAGGAATCAGGACAGAAAAAGACTTCATCAGCAGAATGAATGATGAAATCAGTTCATTTCAAAGCGTTTAGGTATTTTAACATTTCAATTTACTCAGTTTTGTTTTAAAATTATAAAGTTTAAGCTTTACAGATACAAGTGTATATATAAATCTTTTGCCTCTGGAAGGTATTTTAGCAAGAATGTGAATGTTTTGTCTAAGAAGTTAGGTACAAAGGGGAAATCTTTCCCAAATTAGGATTCAAGCTCCACTTGTAAACTACCAGACAGAACTCATGCTTTAAAAAAAAAAAAAAAAAAAAAAAATCCTTACCCAAACAAAGATTCTTCTCTTCCCCCTGCCCCATCCCCAAGAAAAGTCTTAGCTTATATTTCTTCTCTGCTACAGTATTGTAGCTTTGGTCCTGTGCAATTTTCGGAGCGTTTTGGCATCGTGTGCCTCGCTGGAGACATCTCCATAAAAGGGCATTTACTCCAGCAACATGGGGGAAATGCAATATGTTGATGTCAGATAATAATTCCATCAAGGCTGAATCTGGCCCCATGCTTCAGTCTGTGGTATTTGTAAGAAGCGCCTGCACTTAGTTTTTCCATATGGTGATTTAGAAACATTTGTGCCAGCCTTTGGGGTGAAGTCAGCGAGGAGGCCGGGAGGAGGCCGCTGTCCCGGCCTCCCGGCGCCTCGCAGCAGTCCCGAGTCTGCTCACGCGGCTGGGACACAGCACGAGCCTTGCTAAGGACAGGGTGCCCTGCAGCCACCTCAGCATCCGCGGGCAGGAGGGAATGAGGCTGAGGCTCTGCGGAGCCGCACTGCCTCTGGACCCTCGGATCCCGCCAGAGCCTGGGAAGGCCTCGAGCTTCATGGAAGCTGCAAAGGGGCTCTCCCCAAACCAGCGCTGCCCCTCGGGGAAATCCCCCGGCCCTGCTCACCTGAGGCAGGGAACGAGGCACAGCGGCAGCCCGGCTCCCGTTAACGACCCCATCGCTGGGCTTCATCCTGCAAGACACGGCCCCCACCACACGGTTAAACACATGGACACAGCGTGGATTTGATCATTTTCCACTGGGACACATTAATTCTGTAGATTACAGTGGAATTACACAAGGGATAATTTGGGCTCAGGCAGTTTAATAGGACCCTGCATATGCTTACAATAATTCATGTTCAAGAATGTTTGTAAGATAATGGGCCACGTATCCAGGAAAACAGATTTTTGTCTCCTGCTAGTCCTTCTGTATTGGTTTCCATCTGAAATGATCGGTGTGTGTTTATGATATTACATGTGGTGGATGAAGAAGTTATTACAATGTCACAAAGAGGATTATGATTTCAGGTGGGGAATAATTCTCACACAAATCCTCTTTCCATACAAACAGCCTTAGAAATAAGGAATGTAGAAAAATAGGGCAAAGATAAGAGATTTACACATAATGAGCCAGATTGCCCAGCGTGCCCCAGCTGCCTGATACTACACCCGTGCGTTTAAATGCGCTTTGTGCTGTCAGTGATGCAAAACAGAACGTGTTTTTAAGCTATGCTCAAGTATTTTTTATGCAATGCTTCCCCTAGGCATAAATACATTATTGATCGCAGAACAAATAGCAGCAGACGCACCAAAAGACACAAGCTTTCTTAGTGGGCACTTGGCCTCAGAATCAAATCCCCAAAAGGCATTTGTGTCCCCATCAGAGGGCGGAAAAATTAAAAATGCTAAATGATTTATTAGAGGATAATTTAAACCTGATTGCCCAGCTACTAGCCAGCAACATTTTATTTTAAAATGGATGAAATGCATTATTTATTGAGCTGAGAAAGGCATATCAATTGTGAATGTCTTAAATCTCTCAAGGCACAGTGCATTGCAGCAAAAATGATTGAGAACATTAATAAATAAGGTCCTGATCCAACTTTGCATGGAAACATTTCCAAGGACTTTGGAGCATATTGAATCTAAGAGCCCTAAATCACCGGTCTTCCGAGGCTGTGAAAGACAAGCCAATCCCAACCTTGCCATCCCAAAATTAATGCACTTTCATGCTGTTTACGTGAGCCACCGCTTCCCGCACCCCGTCCCTGATTTCCTGCCTCTCCTGCAGTTTCCTTTTCCCATCGGGCAGCCCAGGCCGCTCAGCTTCCGTTAACCGGGAGCAGCGCGGGCTCCTCGCGCTCCCTGCTCCCCGCCCGGGGGCCCCGCAGCGGCCAGGGCAGCCGGGGGGCGCCAAGGGAGGGCGATGCCCATTCCAGCAGCGCGGAGGCACCGGGGACCGCTGCGGCCCCGCCGCCCTCCCCGGGGAGGGCCAGCGGCCACCCCAGCCCCGCGGACCGCAGCGGGACCGCAGCACGCGGCCGTTGAGGGCGGTTAAAGGCGGTTGAGGGCGGGGCAGGGCGGGGCGGCCGCGCCCC